CTATGCGACACTTGCAGTCGTTGCTTTCGTCCGACCGACTATGCGTCCGGCCGGAGGACTAAGCCTTGGAGGAACAGAGCGCCGCGCCGCTGCGTGATCCTCCAACCCACTTAGCACCAAGAAATGAATTCAAATGCTTATGGTGAGCAGAGCCGAACTCGAATTCTGGCGGCCACGTCCTACATCGCCAAGTAATCAAGCTATGCGTGCGGTAGGCCGATGTCATAGTTTGCGATTCGAGCGATTCGCTAGCGAATCGCTGTATCCGAGCCGTAGCGTGCGGTGCCATACCTGTTGAGCAAGTAGCCGTAAAGCAATAACCATCGCTTCGCAGGTGTCTGCCCAAATACAGGTTTGTCACTAGACTCAACTGAAAGCTCTACCTATTCTCATAATTTTGCACATAATACTGAATGGGTATTCAGAATGAGTGGTTATTTGAATACAGCTGAGACCAACCTGGTAATGACACTACTGCATAATCAAAATTATAACCCCCCATGATAACAATCTGTAACTTAGTTCTAGACGAAACAACCTACCTTCCCACACATAAGGCGTTGGGAACGGTGCTCAGTTTGTAGCGGCCCGTATCAACGAGTGATCCTTTCATCCTGCTAACTTTATCTCCTCCATTTGGTGAAGAGTTCAAGTGATCTGAAATTTCTTTGATCAGGAACTTTATGTAAACAAACTGACGTCGAATGCAGCAGAATTGCTTTCACTGGAGCGCTGCCTATATTTGGCTGCAGAATGATACGATTCCAATAACAACCCTGAAAATAAAACAAGAATTCACCCTGTAGAGAAGTACGCGCCTTTGCGAGTGTGCAGTGAGAGATCGCTTAACCGTAGAACACGAGTACGGAAGTCAAAGACACACTTATTCCTCAAAGCAGGATGAAGCATAAGACGTTGCCCTATCCGAAACATGGCTCATCTGAATAGTCTTAATCATCTTCTGAGTTTAGCATAATAAATACATGTGGAAAAATGGCACGAGATCGAGGAATACGAGGCAATTCGGATTAAAAAGAAACAAATACAGAGGAGAGATCACAAATAACCGATCCGAACAAAAAAATCAACGACCTCTGAAGCCATAAGGAATCTTCCATATGTGTATGTGAACATATCAACAATTTATAGCAATTTTTAATTTGCGCCGTGTGAACGGGCTCACATATGAGCTCTAAAACATGAGAGCCCGAAAAGGAGAGGAGAGGAATCATTCCGCAATCTTCCGAAAAACCATTTTCCAAAGAAAAACGCAAAAATTAATGTATCACCGTCAAAGGAACTCCACCCGTGCTCTGAAATGA